CAGAGTCTCTGATTTGATATCTAGCTCCTTGATCCATTTTGAGTTAACTTTTGTGCATGGCGAGAGGAGGGGATTCAGTTTCATTTTGTTGCATATGGATTTCCAGTTTTGCCAACACCATTTGTTGAAGATGCTATCCTTCCTCCATTGCATGCTTTTAGCTCCTTTATCAAATATAAGATAGTTGTAGCTTTGTGGATTAGTCTCTGTGTCCTCTATTCTATACCATTGGTCCACCCGCCTGTTTGTTTTGGTTAATGCTTGACTCTTAGAGTTGCTTACTTTTTTTTTTTTTTTTTATTAACAACATATAGAAAAGTCTTAATATGAGGCTTTGGATGATCTTACCATCCCTCAGAGTGTATTTAGCTTTGTTTCTTACAGGCAGTTGTATCAGGGTCAGATAATTTTAATCTAGTCAATGTTAGCAATGACTAAAATCTGGGCTTTGGTTCTGTTCTAAGATTACATCTGTTTGTAGTTTACCTTTTCTGTTCAAAATCCCAACTGAACTCTTTGAGGATGCTTTATCAGGGCACCTTTTGCTTGATTGAGGCTAAACTGCCAAACTCTCCCTTCCTGCTTCTCAGCTCTGTAAGACTGCCAATAGCTCTCTATATCTCAGTCCTCAGTTATTGCATTCTCCCACCTTTCAGTTTATTTTATAGGTAAGTATCTCAGAAGGAAGAACAGTACAGTATTTGGAGCATGATTCTGAACTTCCTTTATCTTTTGGGTCTTTAACATAAGTTCTTGCAGACTTAATAGTTCTCTAGTGCTTTCAAATAATGTTTACTGTTTAGTTAGTTTAGTTTTCCTCATTGTTCTCAGAGAAAGAGCATGGAAAAAGTTTATGTATGGGCTGGGTGTATAGCTCAAAGGTAGAGGGTGTGCATAGTATGAGCAAGGCCCTGATTTCATACCCAGCACCCAAACAAACAAGCAAAATACAAACAAGAATATGTATAGTTACTGGAAGTAAAACCTCTCTTCTGTTTGGATTTCTTAATTTATGAAGCCATTTATGGAGATCTGTGTCATTCTATAATAAATGACCTTATGGTACCAATTCATTAATATTTCTCTGAACATTTCTCAAGACTGTTATGTATTGGTTTGTCAAGTGCTACTGTATTTCTGTACTGTGTATATTTCTGTGATCTGTTAGGCTAAATAAAATAAAAGGGATTGTTAGTCTGTCCATTTAAATCCCTTGTAGGAAATGTACAAACTGAGGGAGGGATTTAAAAACAAAAACATACTACAGTATCTCATGCAAATAACCAGAAATTTCTATGCCATGTAACTTCATCCTAAATCTTTTTTTTTTTTTTTTTTTTTTGCTATCAGAGATTGAATTCTGGGTTGCTTAACTGCTGATCTCCATCCCCAGCCCTTTTTATTTTTTATTTTGAGACAGGGTCTCGATAAGTTGCTTAGAGACCTCACTAAGTTGCTGAGGCTGGCTTTGAACTTGCAATCCTGCCTTGGCCTCCTGAGCCACTGGGATTACAGGCATGTGCTACTGAGCCCAGCTTGTTTAAAATTTGTGAGCAGTGAAAAGGTCTTTTTTAGAAATGCTTCTTCAGCTATATGGCCATTGTGGCTTATACATGGCTTATACTGTTGTGATGTTTGGAGCTGTGTCATGGTTTGGATACTCTGGTTCTCTCCAGTATTTGTGCATATTTTGGCCAGGTAGCACTGTCAGAAGTAGATGGATAATGTGTCAGAGTTTTTGAGATTTTGATAATCTGGCCTTTCTTGGCTGGCCTACCTACC